TTAACTGTAATACACTTTATAGAATCATAGAAATGTAGAGCTGGAAAGAACCTCAAGAGATCATATAAGTCCATTCCTCCATACTGAGGCAAAACCAAGTCTCTAGACCATCCCTGACAGATAACCTGTTATTAAAAGCCTTCAATGACAGAGATTCCACAACCTCCCTTGCTAATCTAGTCCAGTACTTAACTACCCTTCTAGTTATAAAAATTTTCCTAATGGCTAACCTAAATCTCCCTTGCTGCAGATTAAACCCATTACTACTTGTCCTACTTTCAGTGGACATGGAGAACAACTGATCACCATCCTCATTATAACATTCCTTCACATATCTGAACACTTATCAGGTGCCCCCTCCGTTTTTCCTTTGTCAAAACGAAACATGGTCAAATTTTCTAAACATTTTATCATTTTTATTGTTCTCCTCTGAGCTCTCTCCAATTTGTCCACATCTTTCTTAAAATGTGACACCCAAAACTGGACAATACTCCAGCTGAGGCCTCACTAATGCAAAGAAGATCAGAACAAATTACCTCCTGTGCCTTACATACGATATTCCTGTTAATACATCCCAGAATTATATTTGCCTTTTTTGTAATTGCATCACACTACCGGATCATATACTATTTGTGATCCACTATAACCTCCAATTCTTTTTCTGCAATACTACTGCCTAGCTGTATGGGGAGACTTTGGCAAACCAGTAAGAGCCTGAAACCACTCTGGCTTATTGCTAAAGGCAACAAAGTCAGCAAGCTGTAAATTAGCCAAGTCAGCAGGCTTAGGTTTGACCAAGGCAGGAGGGGAGGGGAGTCTCTGGGTGCAACAGAAAGGGCAGCTTGACCCCGCATCCTTCCTGATAAAAATTGTGTTGAAGTGGTTGATACATGCATTTTCGAAGAGCAGGATGTGCCCCAGGAACGTCTGTTGGGGCCTCAACACTGCAAACTCTGGAAAAACCCACACCTGGTTAATCGATAATCAGAAGGAACCTCTTGCTTGACTATTGAAACTGCCTACTTAACCAGTTTTCTTTAGTAATAGAATGACATGTCCCTTAATGTGTAAATAAGGGGGAAAGTTTGAGGTAGTTGGACTCTTTTTGGACTCTCCCTCTGGATACATCTTGCAGTCCCCAACGGCAGACGGAAGATTTGGCCACCGGAAGCCTGGTGCTGTGTTACTCAAGAGCCACACTCAGCTTTGGTAATTATCAAGGGTTGGGGTGTTTTACTAACCTGTTGTGGATGTAAGTGCTTGAGACTAAGTAAAGTTTAGCTTTAAGTGAAAGCACTCTTGTGTTGTCCTGTTTGTGCCAGCCATCTATCAGTAGGATGGCCGTGTCTCCCGATCTATTTCCTGACACCACCTCGCACAGAATAAAAGTTACCAGGAGGTTTGGGTTGAAAGAACCCGGGTAACATAGCCAGTTATTCCCCATTTTGCATTTGATTTTTCCTTCCAAAGTGTAGTATTTTGCATTTATCTTTATTTAATTTTTGTCTTTTTAATTTCAGACCAATTCTCCAATTTGTCAAGGTCCTTTTGAATTCTAATCTCCTGTCCACCAATGTGCTTGCAACTTGCTTGGTGTCTTCCATAAATATTATAAGCATACTGTCCACTCCATTATCCAAGTCATGAACAAAAATACTGAATAGTACCAGACCAAGACAGAGCCCTGCAGGACCCGCAGTAGATACATCCTCACAGTTTGACAGCAAACTATTGATAACTGCTCTTTGAGTATGACTTTTCAACCAGTTATGCACTCTATAGTAATTCAGTTTGCTTATGAGAATGTCATGTGGGACAATGTCAAAAGCATTACTAAAAATCAAGATATATCACATCTACTGCTATCCACTAGGCCAGTAACCCTATCAAAGAAGGAAATTAGGTTGGTCTGGCATGATTTGTTCTTGACATATCCATATTGGCTACTACTTTCTATTCACTGTAGCAATTGTCTGCTGTATTGCTGCCCTCTATAGTTCGAATGGAGTCATTCATAGATACCAAAAGGCTGCTCCTTCTAAAGCATGGAGAATATCTGAGTGCTGGGGAAGCAGGATGGACAGACTGCAATGGTTCCTTAGTGAGGAATTCTTCTGATTGCCTGATTCTGTTTCATTTTAAAGGCCTGGAAGCTAAAGTCTTTCTCGAGTTGTTTATTTTGTTCACTCATGGTCAAGGTGAAATTAAATACAGATTGCCTGAGGTGCATAGTTCAGTCAAACTGATGGTACATATTTCTCCAAAACTTAAAATTGAAGGACACTGTTAGGCTCCCAGAGGGCAAGTTTCTGGGAAAAATCTGGATTGTATAGGAGGATTTTGGATACTTCTTTTGTTCATCCATAAGGGAATATGTTTTCTCTTTCAATTTTGGTTCTTCTTGCTCTTTTTGGCAGTTTCCAAAGAAGTTTCCAAACTGGCATGAATGGACGTGTTCATGGATCTAAAGGAGAAAAGCTTCATTGTATTCAAAGTCTTGTGAAAACTGCTCTGTGAGATGCCACACACCTTCTAAAAACTGAGTGAACACTGGAGAGATTTCCTTTGGGTCACCATCAATTGATCACATCTGTCAGAAAATTTGTGTCCAAAAGAGAGCCAGTCCTTCTCTATTAAAACCATGAAGCCCTATATTGTTCTATACTATAAATCCAACGAGAGAGAGCCAAGGGAACAAACTTGGGAAGTCCTGTCCCAGCCATCAGAGCAATGAACTAGCACAGTTGCATTTTCAACTGCTATTGCTTTGGCTAAGAACGTAACAGCATCCAACACAGCTTTGATATGACAGCCAGCCAGAGTTCTCCAAACCAGACAAGAAACTGTTGACAAAGCTTTTGTACAGCTGACTTCTAAAAGTTTCTGCAGGCTGAATCTCATTACATTAATGTTTTCAATGCCAACAAACTGGAATCTAATGTTAGCATAGTTGCCTTCATTTTCATACCCTTTGCATGCCATTGCATTAAGCTTGGGCTGAGTGTCCATGACGTACATGTGGTGACGAGCAGGGTCGGCTATAGTGATTGCATTCAGCATATTTTCATCCTCCAGACATGCGGCACTGAAACTTGACAGAGGCTGACTGCATCTGCAAATGGCAGCCTCTTTATTTCTGTGATAATATAACACTGGGAATCTTCCTTTGCTTCTAAATTTGGAGCTAGTTATCAACCTATTCTCCTCTAGGTGCTTATAAAAACTGATTATTTAATCATTTGTTCCAGTAACTTTCAGGTATCAAAGTTAGGCTGACTGGTCTATAATTTCCCAGGTCCTCTTTGTTCCCCTTTTTAAAGGTAGGTACTACATTTTCCCTTCTCCAGTCCTCTGGGACCTCACACATCCTCCATGAGTTCTCAAAGATAATTGCTAACAGTGCTGAGATGGCTTCAGGTAGTTCCTGAAGTACCCTGAGGTACATTACATATTCATGACAACTTGAATATATCTAACTTATCTAAATATTAACTACCCTGTTCTTTCCCTATTCTGGCTTGTGTTCCTTCCCCTTTTTTGTTAATATAAACTACGTTAAGATTCTGGTCACAATTAACTTTTTTAGAGAAGACTGAAGCAAAATAGGCATTCAACACCACAGCCTTCTTGGTGTAGTCAATTAGCAGCTCTCTTTCTTCACTAAGTAGTAGACCTATGCTTTCCTTTGTCTTTTTCTTGCTCCTAAAGTATTTACAGAACCTCTCCTCCTGCCTTCTGTGCCCCTTGCTAAGTATAACGCATTTTGTTTCTTAACCTTTCTGATTTTGCTCAGATATCTATATGCTTTTGCTATACTTTTGTACTCTCAGTTAGAATTGGTCCATGATTCCACTTTCTATATATTCCTTTTTGATTTTCAGGTCATTAAAGAGCTCCTCATGCCACCAAATTGGCCTCTTACTATTCTTCCTATCTTTCCTTCAGTTTGGGATAGTTTTCTTTTGTGACTTTAATATTGTCTCTTCTAGAAACTGCCAGCTTTTCTGAACTGCTTATTCCCCTTACATTTTCTCACTGTGGAACCTTACTTATTAGTTCTCGAGTTTGTTAAAATCTGCTTTTTTAAAAGTCCATTGTCCTTATTCTGCTGCTCTCACTTCCTTTCCTTAGAGTCATGAACTCTATTTCATGATCACTTTTACCCAAATTGCCTTCCACCTTCAGATTCACAATTCCTTCCGGTTAGTCAGAATCGAGTTTAAAATGGCTGTCCCCCTAGTTACTTCCTCCAGCATCTGAATCAAGACACTCAGATTATAAGAAGATGTTTATATATAAAATAGGAATTAATTTGATTTTATCACAGTAACTAACCTATGGTCCTATTATTTCTGTCCAGAACTTCCTATGTAAAAGCCAACACATATATTTTCAAATTAATCTGCCTAGAGAAAATAAATTATGATAAAATGATTTCACTTAATTAAGACCTCTGGCTGGTCTAAGATACTAGGGTGGTAAGACAGACCCAGAGCAGAAACAGAAGTTAAAGATTGTAACTGCTATAAAAGTCACCAAACTTTCATATTTAATGGAGAGTGAGTCAAGGTAGGTGAGGTAATATATTTTATTGGACCAACTTTTGCTGATGGAAAGGACAAGGTTTTGAGCATTACAGTACTCTTCCTCAGGTCTGGAGAAGGTACCCTGAGTGTCAGAGCTAAAGACAAGGTAGGACATATTGTTAAGCAGAAGGGTCATCTCTATGCGTGAAACCCTTCTGCTTAACAATATGTCCCACTTGTATTTGTCTCAAGACACTCAGGGTACCTTCTCCAGACCTGAGGAAGAGCACTGTAATGCGCAAAACCTTGTCCTTTCCACCAGCAAAAGTTGGTCCAATAAAAGATATTACCTCACCTATCTTTGTCTTTTTGTATCCTGGGACAAACATGGCAACACCAGCACCACCACTGCAAACAACTTATTTAATAAAGGTCAAACAGGATTTTATAAATGAGATCACACCTTTGAATTGTGTTGTTTAAATGGATGCCAGCAATGGATGACAGACACTAAAGAGAGTTAAATATACATTTGAGTAACAATAACCATAGTCCAGAATGATACATGTGATTAAGTCAGGATAATAGTGAGAGTTAAGTCTTAATTTGGCAACATATAATAAGCATTTGTAAACAGATATAATATTAAAGTACCTTAAGTTTAAAATGAAGCTTCTTATGGCTTCTAAGTGGGGTTTCATATTTTAGAGATTTGCATGGTTTCTAACTACTGCTACAAGGCTGCCTGTGCACCCTGTGAAAAGCTGGCTGTCCCAGAGATAGCATTTTCTCTTCAGTGACTAATGGGATTTGCACTTCTTGGCATGCAGAGTCAGCACTCTAGAGAACAGGAAGGATAGAGTTGTTGGAAAGAGAACTTAAATGAAGTTCATTTTGTTTTAAAAGTATATATATTGAACTATTACAATGCCCCTTTAAAAGGGTAGGAAAGAGTTTGAATCCATCAGCCACCATGACTGCAATTAGCTTGAAGCTTAGTCATTTTCAAACGAAGCATCAGCTCAGTCAGTCTACAATTTATTGTGTATATTGGAGCGGCGCCCAGACATTTCAGTCAGGATTAGTGACCCATGCTGCTAAGCCATTCTTCACCTCTGAAACACATACGAACAAGTCAAAAATATATTGACAATTATACTTTAACTCACTTAAACTACTGTACCTGGATTTAAGACAGAACTCATTTATTGCTCTGACACCAGTGATGAAATTATTTTGCGTGTATTTTGGTCCATATTCTCTCTTTTTAAGAACTGCTTTAACTAAAAAAAAACAAAAAAAACAAAACAAAACGCATTATCAAGTGTAATTAAAAGTCATATGGAGCATGCCCTGAAAAACAATTTAGCCCTACGTGAAATCATGGGAAAGCGTGAGTTTACCCCATTTAAATGGAGACATGTAAATTCTTCCTTCCTGCCAGGGATTCTGGGATAAAGACATTTAATGAGAGAAATAAAAGAGGAAGGTACTCTGATAGGAAAATTATTAATTTTCTGGACAGAATGGAAATAAACATTATTAAGAACAGAGTAATTTAACTTAATTTTGACATTTAATATAATAAAAATAGCTATTCTGGCAACAAAAAAAGCAGATATAAACATAAAGTTCTAATCAGTCACTGGTGGCCAAAGACTTTGCAAATTATTTTCTAATCTCAGTAGTTAATTATTTTGCTATTGCTACAGATCTTTTCAGACCTAAACCAGAACTGAAACAGACTGTACCCTCCACTTCTTTATTTTTTTAAATACTCCACCTAGTACTTTCCAGAGTTCTCTCTCTTCAAATTGCCATACTGTGCTTTGTGGATTATAGAACAGTTAAAAGTACACATTCCTTATTTATATGTAATATCTAGCTAGGAGATTCTACTATAAACTTTTCAGAATCCGATGCACAAGCAGGAGACCATGAGAATACATACAATTTTAAATGCAAATTTATCTTACTTCCAGTTATGCCATTCTTGGCTGCTTGTCACCCAAGTATAATGTCCTTACAGTGATTTATAATTTTAAAATCACTATTAAGTTTACTTCTGTTAATATTTTAGGCAGGTCGCCATTAAAGAACAGTTACAGTTGAAGTATATTAGGTGTATTAAAGGAGAACAGAGATCTTTGAAAATTTACAATTCATAGATTAAGGCCAGAAGAGACCTCTAGGATTCTAGTCTGACCACCTCCAGAACAGAGGCTTTAAGTCTTCACCCAGTAATTTCTGCATCAAGCCCATAACTTTTGCTGGAGCTATAGCATATCTTTTAGAAAGATATCTAGTCCTGATTTAAAGTCTTCAACTGATTGAAAATCCACCACATTTCTTGGTAACTTGTTCCAATGGTTAACTATCCTCAATGTTAACGCTTGTGCCTTCCTTCTGGTCCGAATTCTGGAAGATTTGAAGCAAAAGGTTTCAGCTGACACTGAGCAACCCACAGGCATTACAGATTTCAGCATTTATTTACAAAAATTCTGGTGTATTTATGGTATCCAGTGGGTTTTTTAATCTACAACACTGTTTTAAAGTAAATGTTCAGCATCTAATAATATGTGCTGCATCATGATCTACCCCAGATTGCTCTTTGGATCTAATGGACACTAACACAGAGTTTCTTGGGCACTGGAATGGAAGAGTACAATTGTCAAACAGAGAAAATGGCTCTTGCATGCTTTAATTTTGTTCTTTAAACAAACCCCTGAACAAGTTTAACAACTTTCATATCTTGGGATATGCATTAGCAACAGTTCACAAAGTATCCACTCAATATTTCAAAATAGAAGACAAATTTGAAAAATAATTTCAGTTTTAAGTTTCCACAGTAATGTAATAAAAAAAAAAGTTTAAAAAATTTAAAAACAACCACCCACCAAACTTCACACAAATTTTAAGGTGAAGAGTGTCCCCTTTAAGAGTTTTCAGTGTTTTGTTATTTTGTTACTGTCTGTAACAGTAAATATTTAGGATACAGTTGTGCCTAAAGGCCTATATAGTCCCACTGAGCTGAGCATCATAGAAATACACAAGAGGGAATCCTTGCCCTGAAGGGCTTACAATTTAAAGACGCAAAGGATGTGTCTTCACTAGCAAAAAGTTGTGGGTTTGTTTGCTTGCTTGCTTGCTTTACAGTGAGTTAGCTATCTCTTTATACAAAACACATCTTTCCTTAGCAAAAATAGGCCCACACTGAAGGTTAGAGGATGTGAACAGAACATACAAGGAAATGAGTAGGGTGAAGTATTGACACAGATGTGTTAATTACATGTACTATAGTTGGGGGAAGAGGGGAGAAGTGAGGGTTAATTGGGCTTAAAGTAAGGAAGTAGAAGAGGAGAGAGGAGGAATAGGCAGAGTATTACCTGTCTAGCCAGGATCAGCAGCCTGAGTTTTGTAGGTATTGGAGCAGAGGCAAGTCTTAAAAAAGGATTTAAAGGAAGATAAAGTAGCAACCATTCAGATTTTATCAGGGAGTTTTTCCCATGCATAAGGTGCAGAGTGGTTAAAAGCACAGAGGAGGTTAAGGAAGAAGGTAACTGGTAAGTAGCAAAGGCTAGGAGTACTGGTGGAGATAAGGCAGTAGTCAACATGACAATAGGTTAGATCAGCTAGGTAGGCTAGGGTTAAGTTATGGGAGGTCTTAAAGATAAAGACAAGGAAGCTTGTATGTGTTGCAGGTGTGAAGAGGGAAGCCCAGGAAGGGGGGGCTGACATGGTCAGAATGACAAGCCAACAAGGTGTTTTAGCTGCAGCATTCTTAATAGACTTGATGCTGTTTTTCACCATGTTAAGAGGAGAAAGGAGGGCTTGAGGCTAGGAGCAGGGGAAGAGATCAAAAATCTCTGTTTTGGCCATGCTGAGTTTTAGATGTTGACTGGATATCCCTGAAGACATGAAAGACAAGCTGAGATACTAGACTGGATGAAGGGAGATAAATCTATACCTCCGCTTTATCTGTGATTTATCAGCTTAAAGTGGTAGTTAAAGCCACACTTATGGGAGCAACACTATTTCTAGGTTTCAGAGGCACAGCCGTGTTAGTCTGTATTCGCAAAAAGAAAAGGAGTACTTGTGGCACCTTAGAGACTAACCAATTTATTTGAGCATGAGCTTTCGTGAGCTACAGCTCACTTCATCAGATGTTTACCGTGGAAACTGCAGCAGACTTTATATACATACAGAGAATATGAAACAATACCTCCTCCCACCCACTGTCCTGCTGGTAATAGCTTATCTAAAGTGATCAACAGGTGGGCCATTTCCAGCACAAATCCAGGTTTTCTCACCCTCCACCCCCCACACAAATTCACTCTCCTGCTGGTGCTAGCCCATCCAAAGTGACAACTCTTTGCATAATCAAGTCGGGCTATTTCCTGCATAGATCAAGGTTTTCTCACATCCCCCCACCCCCATACACACACAAACTCACTCTCCTGCTGGTAATAGCTCATCTAAACTGACCACTCTCCAAGTTTAAATCCAAGTTAAACCAGAACATCTGGGGGGGGGGGTAGGAAAAAACAAGAAGAAACAGGCTACCTTGCATAATGACTTAGCCACTCCCAGTCTCTATTTAAGCCTAAATTAATAGTATCCAATTGGATCCAAATTGGATACTATTAATTTAGGCTTAAATAGAGACTGGGAGTGGCTAAGTCATTATGCAAGGTAGCCTGTTTCTTCTTGTTTTTTCCTACCCCCCCCCCCAGATGTTCTGGTTTAACTTGGATTTAAACTTGGAGAGTGGTCAGTTTAGATGAGCTATTACCAGCAGGAGAGTGAGTTTGTGTGTGTGTATGGGGGTGGGGGGATGTGAGAAAACCTTGATCTATGCAGGAAATAGCCCGACTTGATTATGCAAAGAGTTGTCACTTTGGATGGGCTAGCACCAGCAGGAGAGTGAATTTGTGTGGGGGGTGGAGGGTGAGAAAACCTGGATTTGTGCTGGAAATGGCCCACCTGTTGATCACTTTAGATAAGCTATTACCAGCAGGACAGTGGGGTGGGAGGAGGTATTGTTTCATATTCTCTGTATGTATATAAAGTCTGCTGCAGTTTCCACGGTAAACATCTGATGAAGTGAGCTGTAGCTCACGAAAGCTCATGCTCAAATAAATTGGTTAGTCTCTAAGGTGCCACAAGTACTCCTTTTCTTTTTACACTATTTCTAATTATTCACTCCATCTCTGAGTAGCTCTATTTTCAGAAGACATTCTCCAAAATAAACAGACACCAAATGGAAAGTTGATATGTGAATGTTTTTCCACAAACATGTATGTAAGTAAGCCCAAGACATGAACTACCTTACACATTTCCTACTTACTCATGGGCCTCCTAATGTTCAAAGATGATTTCCTCCAAGTCTTATAACTTCTAAAGTCGGAAAGATACCTTAAAAGGAAACACCACACCCTAACAACCATAACATTGCAACATAACATACATGTTTACCTTTTATTTGGATTGGCTCTTGCAATAAAAGTGGTTTTTGGCCTGCACTGCTGGTATCCCGTGCTGTAAAAAATAAAAAACCCTCACTGCTGATTCATGTAAACAATTATAATTAAATAAAATAAAAGACTATTGTTAGCAAGGACAACAGAGAAGTGCACAAAGTTATATTACTATCATGTGAATTAAAAAATTGACAACCTTTAGCTCATTGTACTGTATTTGTGAATACTCTCAGTTAATGTGAATTAGAGAATGTATAGATAATACACATTAATTTACCACTGAAAGTTGAAATTTGATATTCAACAAAGTTGTTAGGGGTTTCACTGTATTGTAGGCTATTTGAAAATAGTCACGGATCAAAATGTTTTCAGCTGCATCTTTACAGTTCTGGACAAACTCGATGCAAAATTTTACCATGTAAGTAGTAAGAATTGAGGTTTGCATTTACTACCCCATTAAGATAATGAAGTCTAAGATATGCAGAAAATATCACAAATGCTTTGGTTTACAGATTAAAAACCATCTGAAGACCTGGAAACATTTTAAACAAAAGAGTTAAGATTCTGAAGAACACAGTAGCTTATGAAAAATCAAAATCCACAGATTTTCTTGTGTGTCATAAATTTCTGTTGAAACTGGACAACAGAAGTATATTAGCTTGTATTTGGAATTTGAAGATATAGTTACTCCTCATCAAAACACAGACAATCAAAAGTTATTTTACTAAAAAGAGAATGGGACACCGAATAGCAAAAGGGAAAAATATGTATTTCCAGATACTAGGCTCATTGCAAACTATCCACGTACAGTAATTTGAGTGTGTTCTAATCACAAATAAGAAATGTTATCAGATAGTTCAAATGCATGTCTGAATATTTATTCTGAAAATCACCATCTTAACTCACTGTAACATCGGAATAAAATCCTTATGATTCCAACAAACAGATCTAGCACTGTGTTTAGTACACTAGCACTGGATGTTTGCCACACATCTGCTATCGATAGCAAAATTAAAACTAATTTTATTGAAACTGAAGCAATTTGAAGTACTCAGAAGATCTTAAGGATTCTTCAAATAGGTCTATGTTGCTTAATGAAAAGCTCCTGACTTAACATCTGATTTGAATGATTCAAAAGTCAAATATTCTTATAGCTTTGGCTACACAACTACTCTTAAGTCAAGCAAGTAGCCATTAGATATAACAGGAACTACCAAGAAGGTCTAACATGGTTTGAGTATATTTTTTTGGGAAAGACAGAAGTAACAGTAAGAAAAACACAAAACAGTTTCTAATGTATTTGCAATGATCTTGCCGCAAGTGAGTTTGGAAAAGCCTTAAAATAACTCAGCCCCTTTCTTCCTTTTGAAAAGTGTTACCTGCTCTCTGGATAGCCTGAAGAACAGCAATGTTAAAAAATGGTTCAAAATAAATAAGATACTCTTTGCTGTTCATTTCTCATCATACTCAAAAACAATGGGCATTGACAAACTATTATTCTTCATATGCACAGACAAGATTGCCTGGCATATTTGCTTCCAGAGTTTGCCAGAAGTCACCCTCTGTTGTACAGATAAACTTTTTTCTTGTTCAAAAACGTATCTCAGTGACATTATTTAATGAAAGGTTATGCCATAAACTTTCATAGGAAAAAAATAATTACACATCAAATATCAAGATTTATATTTGACTGTTCAGACAGCATTAAGTACCCTTTTAAAATATATTACCCTGCTCTGGAGACTTGACAACAAACACAATGAACCAACAAGAAAAGAATGAAGTATTAGAATTCAGAACTGCTGATCTTTGGGTGGGCAGAGATTGAGATGCCCTTTAAACATTAATAAATTAATCTTCAGAATGCCCAGTCAGGTAGAAAAACATCCCATTTTTTACTTATAGGGAAATGGAGGCGCAGGAAGGTTGACAGACTTACCTAAGGACATAATCACTAAAAATTGAGGTTACTTACTTGTAAGTAGAGGTGCTTGGAGATGTATGGTCCCTATCTGTATTCCACATGTGGCTACACATGTGCTCCACATGCCTGACACAGGAGATTTGTAGCAAATAGTGTCCGTTGATCCGCACATAAGCAGTTGCTCTCCCTGTTCTCGCAATCAAAGGCATAAAGGGCAAAGTGGACCAATGCCTCTCCAGTTTCTTCTTACCATGAATCAGATAGGATATGAAGCAGAAGGGAAGGAGGGCAGGCAGTGGAATACAAATAAAGACTACACATCTCAAAGAACCTCCAATTACAGGTAAGTAACCTCCATTTCTTCAAGTGCTGCTCCCTATGTTTCTTCCACACATGGGTGATTGGTAAGCAGTATTAAAATAAGTGGAGGGCTCGAGGATGCAGTTGGTATGAATGCCCCCACAACTGCAGATGCTGAGGAAGCCTAGACCAGAGCACAATGCTTCATAAAGACATGGACGCACCTGCAGGTAGCTGTCTTACAAATATCCAGCACTTGGTACTTCTCAAAGAGATGCCATTGAGGTTTTATATGCTCAGAGTGGGCCCTCACCCCATCCAGGGGAAGAATATGTGCCAACTGATAACATGGAAATATGTATCCAGAGACCCACACAGACAGTTTCTGTGCTGATAATGTGCCATCACCATCGCTCTGCTATTGTGACTAATGGTCTTCGTATTTTCCTCATTGCTTCTGTTCTATGCAGAGAAGAGGACAAGATCCGTTTGACATGGAGGAAGTGCAGCCTCTTTTCCTTGCTGGAAAGAGGAGGCTTTGGGAAGAATATCAGTAAGCAAAGAGGCTGGCTCATGTGAAACTCTGAAATAACCTTGGGGATGAATTTCAGGAGGAGAGAAGGGAGATCTTTTCTCTATGAAATATGGCGTTCTGTAGGTTTAACACGAGTGCTCCCAGTTTGCTCACCGACATGGCCAATGTGATGGCAACCTTCCCAGAGAGGTGTGACATGGACCATGTGGCCATTGATTCCAATGGTGATCTGGTAAGAGCCGACAGGACCAAGCTGAAGTCCTTTGGTGGTGTAGGTTTCAACACCAGCAGGAAGGTCCTAATGAGACCTTTCAAGAATCAAATTGTGATTGAGTACGATAGAGTGGCCTTCCACTAGAGGATGAAAGGCATTGATAGCTGAAAGTCCACCTGGCAGCAAACTAAAAGAAAGCTCTGACATTTTGAAGGATAGAAGATAGTCTAAAATGACAAGGACGCCTGCTGATTCAGGTGATAACTGATTCTGTTGCAGCCAGGTACAGAAACACCTCCATTTAGCTAAACAGCATTTTCTAGTGGAGATTCTTCTGCTGTTATTAAGGATAGTTTGGATGGCCTCAGACCATGAACATTCCAAAACTGATGACCATCCAACTTCCAGGCCATGAGATTAAGAAGGTCTGGGTTGGGATGTCTGATCCTGCCCTTGTCCTGAGTTAAAAGATCCACAAAGGGTTGAATACAGCTAGGAGGGTAGGATGACATTTGTAGAAATTCCAGAAACCAAAACTGCCCGGGCTGATTGGGTGTGATGAGGACAACCCTGGCACTGTCATGGCGAATTTTGCCGAGAACCTGAGGTAGCAGGGGGACAGTAGGAAAGAAATACCTCAGATGGTCCATCCAGAATAACACAAAGGCATCATCCCTAGAGTCTCGGCCTAATGATGCTCTGGAACAGTAGAGGTTGAATTTCTTGCTTGATTGTGACGAGAATAGGTCCCAAGACGGTGTTACCCACTTGGTGAAGATTTCAGTCAAGATAGAATTGTGTATTTCCCACTCATGGTCTATGGAGAAGTGCCTGCTGAGATTGTCCGCCAGAGTATTCTGCACATCTGGTAGGTAAGTCACTGCCTCTATACTCAGAGGAAGAGATTTTGCTCCTCCCTGTTTACATAAAAAGCCCCATCACGTTGTCCAATATTAGGTGGGGAGACCTTATGAGGGAGAAAAATGTATTGCAGGCTAGAAAAACTGCCCTCATCTCCAGCAGATTTATCTGCAATCTGGCCTACCATGGGGACCACGCACCACGTGTAGTGTGATTGTCCACATGTGCTCCCCATATTATGAATAATGCATCAGTGATTAGGGTTGTGTCAGGGATGGGTGGAAAAAAGGGGACTTGCACTTGCACCTGGTCTGGTTTCATCCACCATACGAGAGAGGCACTGACTTCTGGTGGGATTGTTACACTGGTATTCATGTTGTCCTTGTCCAATGAATAAACAAACTGCAGCCAGGCCTACAGGCAGCAAATGCAGAGTCTGGCAAACAGTGTTATGTATGTAGGAAAAGACAGACCTTGATTGTGGTGCAAGATTTCAGCATGACTTGATTTATCAGGCTATGAATAGCCTGAAATAGGTCTTTAAGAAGGTAGGCTTTTCCTGAGGATGACTCTAGGTCACTCCGATAAAAATCTATAGTCCTTGTGGAAGTCAAAGTGGAATTTTCTCTGTTTACACAGACCCCCAGTGATGTCAGAAGGTGCAGTAAGACAAGGATTACCAACAGACCCTCCTGACTTTATCTACTCATTAGTAGGCAGTCATCTATATACAGGAAGATGGTGCGGCCATTGCACCTCATCTGGGCCGTCCTCACAGAGAAGACTTTCGTGAAGAGCCTCGGTGCCATCACCAGCTTAAATGGAAGTACTCGGAATTGGTAGTGCTTCTGTCCTACCAGGAATCTGAGGCATCTAGCTTAAGACTGAAGAAAAATAAGACCTTAAAGCAGCTGTAGGGAGAGTACTCGAGTAGGAATTCCAGGGCCATACAGTTTCACAACAGTAAAAGTTGCCCATGGGCTTCTCCACCACATTAAATGTTACATAATTTAGTACTTGTGGCCATTGCCAGATTACCAGTTCTACAGGATGAAATCCTCTATACTCAGAACACCAACAACTTAAACAGAAGATTACGCTCTCACCATTTTGCCTCAAGCATGAGGGGAAGGAATTACTACTAATCAGCATGTTCAATTTTTATGCCAATTCAGTCTTCAGCAACAACTCATTTTATACAAGTAACTAAACAGGTTGGAAGGAGCAGATTGCTAAACTGTAGAGGCATCCCATTATCTATCCCTAGAGCCATCCAATCCCTCTCCAACATCTATCATTTATTTAAAAATGTATTTACAAAAAGGAAATGTATCTAAGTTTTTACCCATGCTCGTTCACTGGAAGTCTTGATATACAGGAGGGAGGTTTGACCATTTCCAAATTCTGCAGTTTCAGCATAATAATACATACAGTTCTACATTGTGATCTGTTTTTAATTGCATAAGGAAAACTAACAGAATCATTTGCTGAATAAATGCTCTAATATATCTGCTCCTTTTAAATATAAAACAGGTGAGAACCATGTCCGATACATTCACACACTACAGGACTACTAAGATGGAAACAAATGTAAAGCACACCAACCTGTTCCAGCTTTGTGCACAGCTCCTTCAGGGCCTGGTACAGGGCCTTTTTTCTGACCATCAGAAGTGTAAACTCTCACTTGACTCAGTGATTGGACTGCTAGACGACTGCATGGCAGTATGCGAGAGAGACTTCCGCATTTCATCGAGCCTTGCCATCCTGAGGGGAAAAAAGGTTTACACATACCAGTTTGAGAAGAGAAAGTGTGTGTCAACAGGAGTTGCTGAGATTAGTTGTGGAAATTAGCTTTTAATAAATATTTTTGCCCAGTTTACCTGGGGTGCTCAAACTTCAGTAAACTCTACACAGCTAAAACTAGTCCTTTCACCAATTTCCCAAGCTTCTCCTGTCTCCTTCTCAAGCATTTTAACACACATTTTTTGCTAAGTTTCTCACATAGCCTAGTCCTTTGAAACACTGCACATGAGATTCTCTTAAAGTTATCTAACAGAAAGCTACTTTAAGATTGTCTAACTGCTCGATTAAACCCTATTTTAATCATCCTCTGCACAAAATCATCTTTATAGTGAGCAAAATACTTGGCAGTCAGAGAGGATATTATAGTGGAATGACAATGGCATACATTGCAAAACTATTAGCAAGATAATCCTAACAGTTTTGTCCTTTAATCCCACTTCCCATACCCCCCAAAAAATATTCTAATTGACTAAATATGTAATAGATGTCTGCAATTCAGGTGTAATATCTTAACCCACAACATAAAAGCCACAATTAAAGTGTGATTTACAGTGTGATACATAAATATTACATACAAACATTTTCTCTGTGTTTGCAGAGAGACCACACTTACTAGGCAATTGCTAGTGTTAAAAGACTGGCCCAAAGTATACCAAATTTACTGAACACAATTCTGGTCCATCAGCATTAGCAGCCACCTTCTGTTAAGCAACATAAGCCAGCAATCAAAGCATCAACAAAATTAACAGACTCTCACACATAAAATGCATACATCTCCTCTGCAAATATAACTTCATCCACCACTGAAATGCAATCACCTACTAAAAAAACAAAAACAAACAAACAAAAAACCTGGTGTGGTGTCTTTGGGAAATACTTAGAAAATCAAGTACTGCTAATCTTACTTGCATTGCATATAACTGGACATTAAACAGAGGACTACATGATTATTACACAAGTCATCTCACAACACAACCATAGAGGTATGTTTGGTAAAAACATGCACTCCATAAAAATTCCTTACAGTCTTTTACATACATTATGTCCCACTACAGCTAGAACAAGTACATCTGAATATAAATGTACTGTATACAAAATATACATAAGTTATATTAATGTCAAAGTGATTCAGACAATAAAAGGCCTTTAAATACCATGCCAAAGTTCAATATGCTCTGCTAAACACGTGTCTAATAAATAAGAAATTACAGAAACAACACTTTATGATACTTGACAAATGCATACTTTTAAACCCAACTGTATTTTGAATTTATCTACATTTTGGGGGCATTTCACATTCAGTCAAAGAGGAAACCTCTTGATAAGGGACTAAAATAATTCAGCCATTACATTCTTGCTTCAAATTATTGTCTATTTTCAGAAACTGTCTGTGATATACACTGGAAAGTTTACTCAAGAGTACTAGGCAGCTTTTTATATAAAACAGCAGTACAGCACTAGTTTTGGAGAAAATAGCTATATGAAAAGAACGATATGGATTCTACAAACACAAGAAACTAGCTTGTTCAAAGCGCTATATTTAGAGCTATTGACCAGGGTTGGGAGGATCACTCTAAAATGCTATGTAGACATACCCAAACAAGCTCTTCTCCCGCTAAAAACCACATGATCATAAAACTGACTAGCTGCAGGTTTTTATTGCTAGTGAACTCAAAGGACAAGCAACTTCTGAACCTTCTTCCCATCATACAAGAAAATATATAAAAGATTTTTATTAAAAATATTGGGTTTCACAAGCTGCCAATGTGGCCCTAGACATCACAAAGATTAAGTACCTGATCTACAGGAAGTCATCATGTAATTTACTCAACTACTTCCTTTTCATAGACGTTCAGATACAAAAAAGACCTCTTAAGTCACATTAGTTTATCCCCCTTAACATTCAGTGCAGGACTGTTTCCTCCGGTTTATTATCCAGTACTTTTATGCAGCACTTTTTGCCTCACCGCACACTGATTATTTCAATCAATTTCAACAGGGAGTAGGTGGGAGAGGCTGTTAGCAACACAGCACAGCAGACAGACAATTTTTAAATGACAGAGGTCAAGTTGAGAAAACATTGGGGGTGCTGCTCCCTTAGCACAGTGGACAGACAAAGAGTGAGGCTAAGGGCTACGGAATATGAATTATGATGGGACCTCGGGAAGGCGCTGAGTTGGTGAGAGGGAGCACTGAAGATGAGAGGATAAGGAACAAACGGGAATATGGGAGTGTAATTAAAGACCACCAGGTTTTGGCAAATTGTGAGAACATGACGGATCGTGGAGTGGGAGAGACAGGAGGTTTTAAGAGGGTTTTGGAAATATACGACGATGGGGCGGTCTCGGTGGGATAGGATTAGGGGGCCTTTGGGGCGGCACTGCATGGGGGGAAAGTGCGGGCAGCCCAGCTCACAGGGGGAGGCTGCGAGGAGGGTCTGGCAGCGTGACCGTGCAGGAGGGGTAACGTGGGGCGGAGACGCCCTAGGAGAGCTGTGGAAACAGCGCCGCCCGGGGGAAGGGGGCTGGAGGGCCCGGCTTGCCCCGCCGGCCCCCACTCACCGTGGCAGACCCGGCTGAGCTGCGCCGCCTGGCACCGCAGGTACAACCGGTAAAGGCAGCGCCACCCCCGCCTCTGGGCGGCCAGAGCCGGCATCATCCTCGCCTGCTGGCCGGACTCGCACACGCAGGGCCGGCGCCGCCGGGCTCCGCGAGGCAGGGAGAGGCAGCCGCTCTCATTGGAGCGCCCGGCGCCGGCCAGCCGGCGGGGGAGGGGAGCAGCCCCCCAGCAGACCAGAGCGGTAGGAGTCGCGGGACCCGGATGTAAAACGGTGCGCACTCAGGCCGCGCCGGACCCCGGGCAGACAGGCGCCTCCGCCCTCGTGAACGCGCAAGCGCGAGGAGGGGCGCGCGCATGCCTCCCATGCCAGGAGGAGGCTCTTTGTGCGGTTGACTGGGAGGCGCAGTGGTTAGCCCAGCCGCCTGGGACAGGAGGTAAGTGGCAGGTTCCAGTCCTGTCTGCCCGTCCGCTCGCTGCCAGGTGGTGGGGAAGGCGCTGGGATCACCGACTACGCCCAGCCCCGTATAATGAATTGGCGACCGTGAGGATTTTGTTCACAGTGTCGAAATTTACCCTGCGCTGTACCGTGCGGCCCCTAATACCCCTTACACCGAAAAAAGCTTAATTCATTAGGGTTTGGAAAGGCCCAGTAACAATTCACACCCTGTCTGCTCCTTTCGTGTGTCTGTCATCCATAACGGGAACGTGGCTCTGCCTGGCACATAACATTTGACAAGGGGTCTGCCCCACTGTGGTCAATGAATCTAAGCAGGTGCATAAACTTGAAACAGATGTGGGTGTGCTCAGCCTCAGAGCCCCTGTTAGTAATGGCAAATAAACAGCTGGAGTGGCTGCTGCCCTCATTTTCATTATAAATTCAGTCCTATAACAGTATTAAGACACTAAGGTGAGGACACTTGATTAAAGTTATCCAGCCTTATACCCTAACATTTGTTTCACTGGTACAGCATTGCTTTTTTGTTGTACTGCCCTCTGCTATATCCTGGTGTATTATTACAGTCAGTAGTTACAATAGGGCTGACATATGTTTTTGTCAATTTTAATGTAATGTAGGTTTTTCATATTTTAATATTCAAACAGTAACACATAGTATTCAGAGATATACAGAGCCTTAAATAATTAATCTTCTGAATGGCAGGTAAGTATAAATATTACCATTTTACAGTCCAGGAACCTGAAGCAGCAAGTTTATGTCAAATGGCTACGGCCACAGAGCAAATCAGTGCCAGACACTGAATTCAAAGTCAGGAGTTTCTGTTTCTCAGACCAAATCTTTGTCTGCCAGACTATGTTACTGCAAATAATAACAACAACAAACAGCAACAATTAATACTGAAAATAAGTACATAGAAGTGATATTGATCTTTTCTGCCACAACTCCACCTTCTCCTGCTTGAAATCTCTCTCAGAACTTATTTACTTACTATCTTAAGGTTACAGGTCAGCTATAGCTTGAATAAAATGAACAAATATGTGATGGGTTCAGTCACAGAGACTCCCCTCGAGACTGTCACTCAGTGAGCTGGGATACCATTGAGAACAAGCCTCCTGCCAGAACAGGCGCCCCTCCACTCTTGTCTTGCTGAGTTGGACGCTCCAGTCAGCTCCAGCACAGACCCAGACGTTGGGCCATGCCTCTCTGCAGTTCACTGAAACAGATTCACTCTGCCAAGGGGCTTCACAGTTAACAGGGACTTTCCAAGCACCCAGCGTTCAGTGTTTCTGAACCCCAAATAAATCTGTGTTACTCTGTATAAAGGTTATACAGGGTAAACTCATAAATGGTCCGCTCTCTATAACACTGATAGAGAGAGATATACACAGCTGTTTGCTTCCCAGGTATTAATCACTTATTCTGAGTTTATTAATAAACAAGTGATTTTATTAAGTATAAAAAGTAGGATTTAAGTGGTTTCAAGTAATAACAGACAGAACAAAGTAAGTCACCAAACAAAATAAAGCAAAAACATACAAGTCTAAGCCTAATACATTAAGAAACTGATTACAAGTTAATATCTCATCCTCATAGATGTTCCAATAAGCTTCTTTCACAGACTAGACGCCTTCCTAGTCTAGGCCCAATTCTTTACCCTGGTACAGTCCTTGGTAGTTCCAGCAGATATCTCAGGTGGTAAGCCTGGGTTTTCTCATGACTGGCAGCCCCTTTTGTCCTGCTCTGCCCCCTTTTATAGCTTTGGCACAAGGCGGGAATCTTTTGTCTCTCTGGGTCCCCACCCTTCCTTCTAAATGGAAAAGTACCAGATTTAAGATGGATTTCATTATCAGGTGACCTGGTCACATGTCACTGTAGGACCCCTAGTCTCCATTCCCCATGGGCTGGCCCACATGTACACAGGAAGGCTTTCAAGTAACTAAGGCCATTTACAATTGATTGTTTCTGGAGCAACCTTAATGGCCTCCACTTAATATGTTTACATCAGTGATAAAAGTTTATATCTTATTCTCCTAACTCCAGTTATAGAAATAATACATGCAAACAAATAGGATGAACACACTTAGTAGATTACAAGCTTTCTAATGACACCATACAAGGGGTATTTAGCGTAAAGCAAATTCCAGTTATGTCATATTCATAAGCATATTTCCATAAATTATACTGAGTACAGCATCACAAAATGAATATAAACAAAATTCTTTTTCAGGATGCATGCACTAACCTCCCCACTGATTGCATAATCATGTTGTTCATACCCCTTTCCCTCTCTGTGTTGATGACACCTGGTTTTGTTGGTCTTATCTTAAAATAGGCCCCCATTCCTGCAAACACATGTACTTAATTTAAACTTTTAATGACTCCCACTGAAGTCAGATTGTATGTTTTCATGCGAGCCCTTTTGACAACTTTCAGGAAGTTCCAAAATTTCTTAGATTTTCATTTATATAACTGTGCCAAATACTCTTTGGTTTACTTGGTCTGCATCGCTGTGGGAAACATGTTCATGGATCTAATCAGAAGATAAAGTTGGCAGTGGAGTTGGATAATTGATGTATTCAATAATCCACAACACGGTTGAACATTTAAGAGAATTGCTATGCATATCCACTTTGATTTTAAATAAGGATATGTTCACTGGCACATAACTTCTTTCATTGTCTGCCAGTGGTGTTGCCAATGTAAGTATTCCTGTAAGCATGGTGAAGGCAGACTGAACTAACATACTTAGATGAAAAAACGATATTAATACCCATCTTCCCAATAGCCCAATTACTGCTATACCAGAGTATCCCTAGTACTGCAACAGATGCTGTATCATTAAGTACTAGATGTATTGCAATGGTGTTAAACACTAAATTAGCTGTGAGTAAACTGCAAAGCAGTAAATGTGGAATAGGTTTTTACACTATAATTTAGAGTGTAAACTGGTTGCATGCGTATTCAGCTGACTTATTACTATGTTGGCAGGGATCTAGTAATAAAAATGTATTTAACTTCTGTATTTGAACTCATAATTTTTGTGCAGGAAGGAAGCAAAAAAAAGATGGAGCAGCACAGACAAGTTGCTGGCTATTGCAAGAATGAAGTTCAACCAGGTTTTTCATGATCATGGAGAAATATTCCTTTTTGCTGATGAACTCTGAGACATGGTAGTGGGGTAGATAATGGGGTCTCATCTGCGGCCCCTATACAATGTGGAAACCCTAGGTGTTCAGAGCTGTCAGTAACCTCCTGCGCATTACCAAGCTTTATGACCCGAGACAACAGTACCCTCTCAATAGCAATTCATCTCTCCATGACAACAGCTTTTATTTACCAACACCAAACTGGTTAGCCACTTATGAGCTTCCACATGGTGATGGCTGCACACTTCTCCATGCTGAGAGGAATTCTCATATTGATGCTCTGCTGCTGCAACTCCAGTGTGAGCTCTGCACAGATATAGCTATAGTCCTAGGGTGAAATCCTGATCCCACCAGTCAGTGGCAAAATTCCCATTTAACTCAATAGGGCCAGGATTTCACCCATGATCCTCAACATAAATAACAGTTCTTGAATAGTTATTTTAAGCTGGGAGGAGGTATTGTTTCATATTCTCTGTGTATATATAAAGTCTGCTGCAGTTTCCACGGTATGCATCTGATGAAGTGAGCTGTAGCTCACGAGCTCATGCTCAAATAAATTGGTTAGTCTCTAAGGTGCCACAAGTACTCCTTTTCTTTTTGCGAATACAGACTAACACGGCTGTTACTCTGAAACCTATTTTAAGCTTGTATCTCGGGATATGAAAACAGTTTTAGATACCCAAAAATTTGTGTTCAAGTCATACCTTGAGCAGAGAGCAAACTGATTATTGTAAAAGATCATTGCAAATGTCTTCTCCATTATGAGATGAGTAAGTGAAAGTTGGACTCATTACAACCATCAAGTCTTCAGTTCTTTGATGCTACTACAGCATTACAATATTCTAGGTCATTACTTTAAACTACCTTTTATGTAAAATGTTAAAAATCTGGGTTGCATATTAAGGAACACAGAAGTTTCTATTACATTCGAATTTTGCTTGAGAAAGGACTGCCAAGGATAGCAGGGCTTGGCTCCATGTTAAAACTGAAAACCAAGGACCAGATTCACAAAGGAATTTAGGTATTGCAATGCAGAGTGTCACGGGGCCTAACTTTTAGATGCCTAGAAAATCACAGGAACAACATTACCATTCACAAAACCCGAATTAGAAATCTAGATCCTATACAATGGATTTGGAGAGATAGATGCCTTAAAATGCAATCAACAAAAGCCAACATGCTTGGTGGGACTAGCCAATGGGAGATGTTGACAACAGTGGTGTGCGCTAATACCCACCCCCTTATGAAACAGGTGCCAAAGTCTGGACTGTCGGGAGGCACCTTTCTCTGCATAGTGATCCATTAATGCAGAACCCATCTCCTGGAGTCAGGTGGCTTACAGCACCTAGGTAGTTTCTTGCAAGGAATAAGTTAGGTGCCTCCCTCCTCCCGCTACAAAATGGCTACAAAAGGACTTGATGGTGCCCATCTTCTAGTCCAGTGGTCAGCGGATTCACCTGGGATGTCTGGGGTTTAAACAGCTTTGTAGCTCTGGGCCAAAGATCTGTAGTTACAGAAATCTTATCCACTA